CTGGTGCCCGACGCGGGCCTCCGAGTCGGCGGGCGGAGGAGCCTCTCATACTCATCCGGGCGCCTGCTTGGACTTGCTTGGTTGGTTCTCAGGCCTCGACCTCGGCCTCGTCGTCGCCGCCGATGGTCGGCATGGACGACCGGCGGTGCTGGCGCGCGGCGACGACGCGCTTGCGGACGAGGAAGAGGAGGGCCGCGAGGAGGAGGACGGCCGCGATGACGACGGGGATGATGATCGCGAGAGAGGCGGACGTGCCGCCGTTGTTGTTCGAGGCACACTTGGGGACGTCGCAGAAGTCCCAGCGGTCCGTTCCGCCGGCGCCGCTCTAAAAAACCTTACGGTTATTTCAAATTTACTCATCACCAGAAACATAACTGCGAAAGAATTAAAGTCGCAACGGTGTGATGAACAATTTTATTTCAGGTTTTTTTATGATAAAAAACCTTATTTCAAATTTACTCGTAATAATTATTTGAAATGTATAGCACCATGAGCGTGAGAATAATGACCCCAAAACTTTTTTTCATACATTTTTGTCATTAATTTTCCATCGAACTTCAACAAAATCGTTCTAGGGAACGCGAAAACACCCTTAGGATTTTACACTATAATCCTCCTTACCTCTCGCCGGAGGTCCGAGGTCGAGCGTTGCGGTGGACCTCGCCGGCGCTCCCCAACAAACAATGAGCAGCCAATATCCTAACTAGGATTACACGCTCCCCAACAAACAATGAGCAGCCAATATCCTAGCTAGGATTACATCGCCGAGAAGGCCGTCCGCCTGATGGAAAACTCATGTGGAAAAGGACTCCACCGCCTTTGGCTTCTCCACGAACCCGGCCCGGATGTTTCGAGTAGACCTTCAGGCGCCGATCGGGAGAACAGTTTAAAGGCCACCGGGTCGGGACCAACGGTGGTTCAAGTTCGCCGCGAGGGGGGACTGAGCGGCGTCCCGCCTCGGGGCGCGAGGCGACGACGGGGGGCGCGGTCGGGTTGGTCGCGCCTCACTTGGGCCCGTCGCCGGGCCCGAAGTCCTCGGGGCGCCGCTTGGGCTGGAGCTTGCCCTTCTCCTTGAGCGAGTCGTAGATCTCGAGCGCGTTGAGGATCGCCTGGTCCATGTTGAAGTACTTGTAGGACGCGAGGCGGCCGACGAAGCAGACCGTGTCCTCCTTCTCGGCGAGGGCGCGGTAGCGCTCGTAGAGCGCCCGGTTCTCCGGGTTGGGCACGGGGTAGTAGGGGTCGCCCTCGGCCGACGAGTACTCGCGCGCGATGCGCGTGCCCTTGACGAGGCCGCGCTTCACGGCCAGCGGCTGGTTCGGCACGTGCTTGTACTCGACGATGCGCGTGAAGGGCACGTCCGCCGACGGGTGGTTGACGACGAAGGCCTCCTGGAAGAAGCCGTCCTCCGGGTCGTCGACGTACTCCTCCTCGAAGCGGAGCGACCGGTACTCGAGCTTCGGCAGGCCCTGGGCGGCGAAGTAGGAGTCGATGGGCCCCGTGTAGACGAGCGTGCCGAACTGGGGCAGCAGGCCCTTGGCCCGCGCGTCGAAGAAGTCGACGTTGAGCTTCACGGTCACGCGCGGGTCCCGCAGCAGCATGTTCTCGAAGATGCGCGTGTAGCCCCGCACGGGCAGCGCCTGCCAGGCGTCCCCGAAGTAGCGGTCGTCCGTCGACGTGCGGCAGGGCAGGCGCATGAGCACGGACGCGTCGAGCTCCGCCGGGTACTTGTCCCACTGCTTCTTCGTGTAGTGCTGAAGATG